ATAATTTTGATGGCATGGTGTTATTTGCTCAGTTTTCATGAAGTCCCTAAGGGAGACACAGATCGAACTGTGACCTTTTTGCAGATAGTTTGGAAAGCCCCAGTTCTTCCACATTGCAGAAGCCTTTCCTGAAAGGACCATAACAATTACTTCACTTGATGTTCACTTGCAACAGAAGGTGTAATTAGGGAATTTGTCACAATGAAGAGTCACATACTTGACAGGAAACAGTGGTTCTGTATAACCACTCCTGAAACAGACCTCAGTGTGATTGTAGAGATACATCAATAAACTGCTTCAACATATAGTTTGATATCACCTTAAGCTACAACAGCATGTAGATCCTTTAATTTTTCCTGTCACCATCCATTTCTATTACCTTACATTACCATTATACGTGAACCACCACACGTTCTTTATCCGCTTTCTTGGGAAAATAAGAGATCATGCATAAATTCTACGAAAAAGGAACGCCGCTTTTTTTTTTTTTTTTCTAAAAAAAGGACTATTTTTCCATTACCAAGTAAGAATTACAAAGTAAAGTATTTCTCGTCCAATAATATTTTATTATAAAAACTTAAATCACTCACTCTGGTCTTACTGTTCTAACAGGAAGACTTGTGGCACTGCAGGACCAAGGTATTTTCAGCTTCACTCTAGTATCTAATCGTATGTTCATCACTTGTTTAAATAAAACCATTTCTGTGGCCACTTACCATCAGCAAAACATCCCTACCACCAAACCAAAAATAAAGCATCTTCACTAGCCCAAAAGAGACTAAACTCTAATAGCTTTATTACAGTGAGAAGCTTTGTTAAAAAAAAATTTATTTTGAAAGTTAGACACAACCTTAAAATTGTACAAAGACAACAAGCACTCAAATTACACAGAGTTAGCAGTGAGTACAATGTGAACACAACAACAGTGAGTCTTGCCTCTCCTTATATGTAAATATAAATAGAGATTATCCGTGCCAAACTTCCAGCTCTTTTTTTTTTTTTTTCCTTTTTTTTTTTTTTTTTCTTCTTTTTCCTGAAACCCAGCTCATTATCCTGCAAAACCTAGCAGGGAGCATTTCACTGTTCAGTTTAACAGAATTGCTAAAAGGGGCTCTGGCTAAAAATAGTCCTTCTATCATGAGAATATCCCATACTTTGCAGAACCAAGTTTCTCTCTCAATTGAAAAACAGCTTTCCTTTTCATTATGTTGAACACTTCACCTCCTCTAGGGACCTGCCAAATTACAGGCTTCAAAATGCTTCAAAATATTAGAACTTGCTCATGTTTTCTCAAGAACATGCAAGCTGAAACTAACAGTCACAAAACAGAGAATGTTTGTGATCGTAATTTACTCTTTGAAAGTGTTATTCCAAGAAAAGCACTTTGGAGCAATTTTAGCTGTGAGTTGGCTAAAGTAATACAAGTACATGGTCAGAGAAGAAAATATTTCTTCTTCTTTTTAATATTACATTTAGAGCTTCAAATATATTAATCAAACCACCTGGCAAAAAGTATCCCTTATATCTTGTCCCTACATATGCATATAAAATAAAAAGCAGATGTTGCTACCACCCTCCCTTTACTTCTGAGAGCACCCTTTACAGTAAATACATGGAAAAATGATGCAGTGTTCTTGCAGAAAAAGTAAAACCCCGTAGAGACTGTTAAACAACTTTACCACAGTCTCTGTTCTAGGAATTAGTTATTACTTAGGTTTAGATATACCAGAAAACTTCTGCTGTAAATCTTCCCTAAGATCAATAGCAATTAAACCAAGGTGATGCTTTATCCAACTATAGCCACACTGGCAAAATCATGCTATGAACTTTACTGTTTGCAGGACTCTGTTCCAAAACTCAGTGCAATTGGTTTTACTTTTAAAGAAAACAAGTGTAACTGTCTTGTTGATGATCTGGGTTATGTCCATGAATATAAACTTATTTATTATTCTTTCTAGATTACCTGGAAGTGTTTTATTTTTCATTGTTTTACTCCACTATGAATGTTTGTTGCAATGGATCAGTATCTTGATTTTCACAAAGCTTGAAAAATGTTGTGGTTTGTTATGGGATTTTTAACAAAAATATCCTATTATTAAGAATCCAGTGTCCTACAAACTGCTGTGCACTGGAATTAAGTCAGTTCCGTTCAAAATCCTGGCAAACAATTTTTGCATCCAAATTGTTATGAGCTGGTAGCCTATGGCTATGCTGATAATGTTCCTCACCAGGCTCGTAGCCTGTGCAGTAATTCTGCATAAAAAAGTTAATTGGTACTAGAATAAGTAGTGAAAACACTTACAGATTTGTATTAATTCTGCAAATTGAGGCTCTGTACACAGACTGCTTTATAAGTAGAGTAAGCTTTTGAGAAACTAAATGTTCTAATATTGCTTTGCCTTACTGAAAATGACTGGTTTGTTTTGGGTTTTTTTAACCAAACTTCTTGATGTTGCTAACTTTTATTTTTATGCAAAACCGTGCAAGTGAAAGTAACTAATTTTTTTTTTTTTCAGTTGTGGAAGAGCCTATTTAATGTTACCACTAAGCTTTTAAAAATGTCTGTCAGTTTGCCAGTCAAGAGAGAAAACATACAGTATTGAATTCTATATAAAAGGGTTATGGGGTGCAGCCTGTGAAATCCCACGTTAGGAAGAACTGAGCTCATTAGCCCAAATTCATATCTCTTAATCATACCATCTTCTCTAGATGCTTTTGTTTAATGGAAGCCTGTTTTCTCAATATTCCATTGTCTTCTATTTGCTTCAATTCTAAGATAGCACTCATAATGTAAAAAAAAAAATTTGAAATTAAAGCAAGGATGTTATTTCACAACAAAACATCAGCTGTAAAAGAACACTTTCAATTATTGTCGGGACAGAAAAGGCTATTGGCAGTGTACCTTTCACTTGGCTTAAGAAGATTTATAAAACAGTTCTAGCCCACGGCAATTCATGCTCTTAAGCTAAACCCAAACTCGTGCAATAGTAAGCGATATTTTGGAAGTCACATTTTGATATCTAGGATTAGAGAAAAAAAAATGACTACTGTTATTTCTGTCTGAAGTTCTAAACCAGCAACCAATATCATTGACAGGATTGCCATGGCTGCATGGAGTCCCACTAGCTTCAACAGGGACCGAAGGTGCAGCAGTGTACTGAGTACCCAAGTACTGGTACACATGGACAGGCAGCTCTCTGCTTCTTGGTTTTGTCCACTGATTCCAACAGGTCTCATAGCAGAGGGCTGCAAGGCGTGGTTATATGGTAACACGAGTGCATTTCTGTAGCAGCTAATTGCACAAAAAACAGTTGTTACTAAGTATGTAAGTCTCTCTCAATCCAGCAAAAGAGACTGCTCTAGAAATAGCTAGGGAAATAGCTACAGAAACAAAACAAGCAGGCTATTTTGTCTCTTTTTAGCAATTACTTAGTATTGCTGCAAATATCTGGAATAAAAGAACTACTGAGAAACAGATACTGTGAAACTCCACTGGGGAAAGGAAGCTGAACAGAACAACTGGCTCCACCCCAGGGAGTTAAAGCATGCTTACGCCGTGGTATCCACCAAGTGGAGGATTTCTGTGGTACTAGAAGATGCCTGGCACCTCCCTGAACCTGGAGCATCTCAAGGAAATCTAGAGCAAGCAGGAGTCAGTCATATTCCAACACCTTGCACAATGCTCCCTCATTCCATTAAAAACCACTTTATCGAGCACGTACAGTAAGCAAACTATTTGGCGTAACGATTTGGAATAGCTCAGTAATAGTTTACTAGATTAGGGAGAGGGTAACGTTATTGAAATTCTTCAATTTCCCATTTTACTTTTTGCCAGTCCAACAGACGTGGTCTTGGCACAGATTGAGAAATACAGCTTAGGTCTGTAATTCCAGTATAGCTTCAAAGTGTACACACTTTCCTATTTGCTCTTACTGTTATTGAACAGCCTTTGCAGTAACTGCTTTGAAAACTATTTTAATCACTTTACCTCCTTTGACTAAAAGGCTGAGCACAAGGCCAGAGATGTAGAGGACCTTCAGGGAAAGATGGAGGAGCCTCTTCTCCTGTGCACTGTGAAAAAGCTTTCTCAACTCCGCAACTGAGTGCCTCCCCCACCCCCAATTTAGATTTAGCATCCTTTGTCCTGCTAGTAACAAAAAGGCATTAATCCTCTCTACTAAGATCTTGGTCCAGTACAAGCTTCACTTGCCAGCAGCTGCACTGCTTACCACACTCAGTAACTGGTTTGTCTACTCAACTTTCAAAGATTGGCACTGAAACTGAAGGGGACATGTTAAACAGAGAATGAAACCACGATTTTAAAAAAGTGGGCACGGGAAACCTGCAGAACTCCTAGCTTTATGAGAATAGTGGAGTTCAGAGGTCAACACAAGAGACTGGCAATTTAAGCTAGACAATGAATACAGCCACAGTTGCGCCAAACAGGGTTAAGAGAGTATTCTAGAAGAAAAATGTTTCCCGCTTTAGAACGTAAACCAAACTTGAATAGGAATTTGCAATAATCCTCCCCCAACAAAGTAGTTACATGTTAACTAACCATTCTACAGCTTCTTGCATTTCAAACGTACAGCACTTCTCGGTCACTCATGGACAGGATACTAGACAAAGCAATCCATTGACATGATTAACGATCCCTATCGCACCGTCTTCCTCGTATGTTCAGATGCACAGTTTAGGTGAGCGAGGTCCTCCATCCAAGTGCCTTCTGCTTAGCATCAGTTACA